AGATTAGAAAACATAAAGTATTGTAATAATATTTGTAATATCATATGAATTCTAATAAAGAAACAGAGGCACGGCCTCACTTTTAAAAAAAAATAAAAAATAAAAAAAAAAATAAAAATAAAAATAAAATAAATTTTTTATTATATAGTATATATATTTTATCATATAACAAAAGTTTTAATAATCAAACAAAATTTATACTAACCTTAATCCAAATATCAGCACTAAAACCCAACTAATATATCTAATTTTACATGTAATCTTTAGCTAACTCTAATCCTAGCCTCTAAACTATCCACTAACCCTAACTCTAATCTCTAAATTATCCAGTAACAACAAATTAACAAAAACTACAATCACAGACAACACCAACAATGATCAGAAGATACCAAGAATAATAATATTAATGATATTAAAGATGCAGAAATGCAACAAGTGATCACTCAGGCGAAATAATGATAATTACACACCAATTGATAACACCAACTATGACTAAATAAACATTAGCAAAGATGCAAATAACAACAGAAACAACAATAAATATGCCAACTATAACACCAATAGCTATAAACAAGCTACTAGTGAGATGATATAACCTTAATTAATAAAGACTTTAAAAACTGTAAGACTAATAAACCAATATTAAACATTAATAATATTGCTAATAATGATATGTATCTATAAAATACACTAATAACAATGGTGCTAGTATACAATGAAATTAACATACAGATAACTATACTGATAAATGACAAAACAACAATATGTAAAAAAAGGTTATTTAGTAAAAAGAAGGAGAAGAGAAAGTAACAAAAACAAAAAAAACTAATATTTATTTTTTTTTTAAATTTAGTCAAGGTTAGCCTCTTTGGCTTATTGCTTTTATTAGATATTAGGATTATGTGGTGCTCTTTTCAAAGAGGCCCTAGACAAGTACATTCTGACGAAGATACATTCTAGCTATATCTGCATCTTTTGGGTGCCTAATTAAGTAATCTACCTATGTGCTAGATGCTATACTAGATGCTATACCTGTAACCCACTATTACTTAAATTATCTAATTAAACTCTCTGATCTGAGTTTCCTATATCAATCTATCTAATCTTACACAGAACATGCAATATATAAGTTAGTCCAAGTTCTAAGATTATTGTATACACTTATAGGACTACTGGTATGGTTAATCGATTCATCCTTGAGTGCATCACCTGCTAAAGCAGTCTGGTATCCACTATTCCTATATTGTCTAGACTTCTTTGGTAATTTATACTAAGTTCAGGACAAGTACTTGCGAGCCAAGGCTGCTACAATTACCTACTACTGCCCTTATAGAGTTCAACCAAACTCCGGCACACCTACAGATGTTTTCTGGTTTTTTAGCTATTCTAAACTACCAATCCAGATGGCCCAGAAAAGCTATAATCTGCTCTGGCCCTACAATTGGTTTTTTTCTTAAGTTACTCCTCTTGCGGCCTGGTTGGTAGAGTGTCTTGCCGAATACTTCGGTTCTATTCAGTTTATTTGGTTCTTTAAATATTAATCTGTATATAGTACTGTCAAAGATCTGTGCTACCTCTCTATTCAGAACTTCCAAACAAGCATCCTATCACTATATTGGCCCTGTGGCTTTCTGTGATTCCAAAGGACTTATCTTGGGTTTGCATCTACTAAACCGGCTTGCATGCCTCTGTGTAACTCCTTTATTACACAGATGCCCCAGAACCTTCCAATTTTATCTTGGTACAACTATAGTTACAGGGTCTTGAGTTTTTCTAGCCACACCGATAGTTGCCAAATCCATTTTCTAAAATACAATTTTTCGCCTTCCGTGAGAATTGAACTTATATTCTACTGCTTAAGAGTATAACAACTTTACCACTTCACTAAGTTACTACATCCTAAGAAACCAATACTTATAAACAACAACACCAGTATATAATGAATATAATTATATTGGCAAATGACAAAAAGACAACCTAATAATAAAAGGTTGGCTAGTAAAAAAAAGAAGCAAAAGTAACAAAAACAAAAAAAATTCAATACTTATATAAGTAACTAATAACATAATGTATCTCTAAAAAAAATAACTAATTAGCGAAAGAAAAAAGAAGAATAAACAATGTAAGCAAAAAATATTTATCATATAGTGTAGACCATAGTACCCCCATATCAAAGTACCCCTTTAAAAAAAATTCATAGTAGAATATAAAATACCTGGGTATTTTAAAAGGAAAGTAGATTTGTGGTTTATAAAATACCTGGGTATTTGCTATGTAAAATACCCAGTATACCAACTATGCAAAATATCTAGTATTATTATTATATTTAATAAAAAGCTAATAAATAATAGATATAAATATTATAGAATTAATAGTATTCTAAATTTATTATAAATTTTAAATCTTAAAATGAGTATTGCAAAAGAAAGTCTGTAATTTTTATTTAATAAGAGTTACAGATTTTTTTTAATTATTTATAATATTTAACAATGTTTATTACTTAATTAACTAAACTGGCTAAGCTAATTTTTTAAACTTCAATTTAGCTACTACATAGTTAATTCAAAGCAAAGTTTTTAACTTTTTATATCAAGCTTTATATACATATACAAATAAGCTTTATACTCAAATTGAACTAATTAAATATTAAATAAATATAATATGACATTATTCTAAATCACTATCTTCACTTAACCTCATATTTTCAAGATTATTATCAACAATTTTGATTACTTGAAATTCTACTAAATGGTTAATATATTCATTCTCATCACTATAATATTCATTTTTCTTATCTTCTAAACCTTCATATGTATCATCCATTTCTATATCTTTATCTGATTCTGTAACTTCATCTAATTCTGTAGCTTCATCCAATTCTGTAGTGTCATCCAATTCTGTAGCTTCATCTAATGCTGTAACTTCATTTTCCTCAGATCCTAATCGATTTGCTTTTTTTAATCATTCTACTCTATCATAGTCAAACAAAAGATCATCTTCAGAACCATCTGTCTTGATAGAAATACCACAGCATTGAAATGATCTTTTAATAAGCTCTGGATCTACATTTTCCCAGGCTTCTTTTACTCATTCTGCACCTAATGCATATGAAGATTATTTGAGTTTTCCAGCTTTAGTAAGCTCATATATTGTATTTGCCATCCAATCTGTATACAATGCTTGATACTACAAAAAATAATAAATTACTATTACCAGTATTAACTACTATTGCCAATATTAAATAATATAAATAAATTTTACCTTTGCTTTAAAACTAAGATAGACAGATATATCAAGAGGTTGTAATCTTGAAGTCAATCCACCTGAAATTACATCAATATTTGTATTTTTTTCTTTAAGTCTATTTTTGACAGAATCAACTGTATGTTCTTTAAACGCATTATAAATTAGCAAAGATCAAGGATTTCTAGCTAAATTTCATTTTGTCTAAATTTCTTCAATCTACCAAAGTATCTCATCTTTATTACACCAACCTTTTTCATTATTACATACATAAATATCCACAGAAAATATTTCTCGTTTAGGATAGTTCTTTAGTCTGAAAATTATAACAGCTGGTAATTTATTCCCATTAGCCATACATGCTAAAATAACAGTAAAGTTTGCTTATTTATAACCAGTAGTGCGAATTCTCACAGTTTTTGATCCAGTTTTCTAAACTAGTACTATAGGGAATATCAAATGAGAATGGAGTTTTGTTTATGTTTCCTATATATTTTAGGGGATATTGATACTGGTTATAATAATATAATATATAGCTTAAAAAATTTTGCTGCTTTTTAACCAGATCATTAAGAAGATGCAAGAAACAGTAGTATGATGACGATTAGAAAAATTATGCCTAACCATAAATCCATCTAACCATTTATTTAAAAATTTGAATGAGGTAAGATTGGGATACTGAATTTGATAAGCATGTCTTGTTGCCATTTTTTTGCTTTTTCAGTAATCATAAGACGTGAAACTGCATTTTCTTTACTATGAATCTTCTCAATCCACAAAGCTAATTCAGTTTCAAGATCAGGAAAGCTAGGAAATATTCCTTTATTTAACTTTTGAATTTATGGTGCGCTGCCATTAATGCTTCTTTTTTATTTCTCCAATTACATACTTGTTTAGGTTGAAGTTAAACTTTTTTGCAGTTGCTCTTACACTTTTAGTTTCTTGTAAATAATATAAAACTATTAGTTTTTCTCTTACAAACCACTGGCGTCTTTTTTTTTATTATTATATGCTTTTTTAACAACTTTTCTACAAACAACTATGGTAAAAAATCTTACTGTTTTGATTTTGCATTGCTTAAGATCTTAAATTTATATAGTTGTGATTTTATAGTGATTAGGTAATCAGCTGATCATATGAAATAGCTAAGTATACAGCATAAAGTTTCTTATTACTGATGCTTCTAATAAGTATTTAAAAGTTTACTTTAATTATTTTATTTCAAAAATTAATAGATTCATTTAATAATTATAATTTATAACAAATTTTATTTACATACCTTCTATAATATATATACAAGCTCTTTTTTTATTCTTTATAGTTCTTATGCTATTTTTCATCAAATTATACTACCACTACATAGAATTTTTTTTATATTATCATTATAACAGAATTTAAAATTATATTGCTATTTTAAGATTATAAATACCATTCAAATGCTTTTTTTTACTCTTCATTATAACAATCTATACCTTTTATTTTTCTAATTTTAACAGAATTCAGATTCTATTATAATGTTCTTTTATTATACTGGTACTATTTTTGTAGTAACCTTTAATACTATGTATTCAAATATCCTTCATTTTTTGTACTTATACTATTTGTTTGTATAATAATCTATAATTTTTATATTTTTAGCTTTAGCATCTATAAAAATTAAAACTTCATTTTTTTTTGTAATTATAAATGTCTTTGAAAATAGAAATGGTTTTAATTTTTTTTATACAAAATATTATATTCTTTAAATATATATATCGTGCGTCAGATTCGAAAAAGCGTGAATTTAAAATCAAGTTGTATAAAATCAAAATTTGAATCTGAGATGCATCAGACTAGTTTATGATTTATGCGTAAAATTGAAATACGCAAGATTGAAATGCGTATAATAAATATAGTAATAATGATAAATATGATAATTAAATAAATAAAATAATGAAAAAATAATAATTTTTTTCGCTTAAACTAGTTAATAGATCTTTTCCATTCTTTGCAATAATATATGTGTATTTATATCAAACCAAATAGTATGAAATATTCATTTATGTTATGGCAAACTTTCAATAACTTAGTTAAAGAGTATATTGTAAGTTTAATACTGAATAAAAAAGAAAAGCCATTATCAATCAAGAAAACCTACAAAAAATTAAAGCAGTTCTTCTTGACCCTGTGAATATTACTTAATATACCACTACTTTTCATTATTGGGTCAAAAAATATTTTAAATTATAAAAAATTGCTGATTCCTATATTGTGCTTCATATTCGAACACAAACTAAAAAAAATAATAAGAAGGTTAAAATTGAGCTTTTTGTGTTGGCTGTAAAAAGCATATATGATAAACTTTGCAAGATACATGAAACAATTACTCAGCACAGCAGCTAAAAAGAAACATGGAACCAAGTCAGTAGTAAATGGGAATATTGCCAGCAAGACCTAGTAGAAAAATTCATGTCTCAATGTACTGTTTGTGTGGCAAGACTTACACAAATTCAGCCACTAGCTGGGATTTCAATTATTAAGCGAAAATTTATGTTACATTTACAAGTAAATTTATTAATATTAATGTTTTGTAATTATGTATTTATTATTATATTATTGTAATAATTTTTATTTTAAACAGATTGATTTAGTTGATATGACATTTAAACGTGATAATGAATTTAAGTATATTGCTCATTTACATGATCATTTTATAAGATACTCCTAGGCCCATGCACTTATCTCCAAGCGAGCAATAGAGATAGCAGCCTTTTTGTTCAAAATTTTTACTATATTTGAACCACCTCTAATTCTTCAGTTAGATAACAGAAAGGAGTTTGTTGCCTTAGTAATTGTTGAATTAGTTCATTTATGGCCTACAATTCAAATTATTAACGTGAGACTAAGACATCCTGCTAATCAAGGTCTAGTTGAACAGATGAATGGAATTCTTGAGATAAAGTTGGAAAAGTGGATAGAAGACAATAAGCATCAAGATTGGTCATTTGGATTGAGATTTATAATTTATATAATGAATAACTTGATTTGTAGAACACATAATAAAAAACCTTATAAGCTTGTATTTGGTGAGATTCCATATGATCATTCTGTTGCATTTGATCATTTGTTTGAGGCTAGCATTTTTTCCAAAGATGAAATTTTGAAGGAATTTAGATTAGAAAATATTCAGGAATCAGTTAATGATTTGGATGATTTAATTGATAACACTACAGTTAATGATTTGGATGATTTAATTGATAACACTCATTCTATATCTATAATGATAAATAAGTCTTCAAGTTTAAATCAAGATTCAAATATAGAAACACAAAGTAACTTAGTTAATGATAGTGATAATCACAAAAACCAAGATACTATAAGTTTATATTACTACTTTTGTTAACATGCATATTTATTTATTCTACAACAATATGTATAAAACAACTATACTACATATATATTATTGTTATTCATATTAATTATATTAATTAAATTATGCATAGACATTACAAGACTTAACAAATTAGTTGTTAATAGGGCATCAGGTTTTAAGAAACTTTGCTTGTCAGAATTTAGAGATTTATATAGCAAAGATGATATTTGCAATAGTCACCAAATCAAAGCGTAGATTAGAATATGAAATTGGAGAATATGTAAAAGTTTTTATTTCTAAAATTGATCAATTTGGTACAGATCAGCTCATCTTCTCATGCAAAATTTTAAATAAGTTAAATCATAATAATATATTTAAATACCGTCTTGGATGCCAAAATGGTATATTAAATAATTTATATTGTGTGAGAAAAATAGAGCTATTAGGTGTAAAAGAATTTCTAGAGCTAGAAAATATTCCAACAGATAATATATCTGTTAGGAAAGCAGCATGAAGCCAGAGTACTGAAACACTTACCAGAACTATGTGCAAATATAAAGGTAGCTGTAATACCAATAAATGTCATTGCAAAAAAGCTGACATTAGATATAAAAGCAAATGTCATAGTAGAAATACTTGTAATAACAAAGTTCAAAGTTAATATATATATTAAATTAAATATTTGCTATTTTCTGCTTTATATATAATTTGCTATTTTCTGCTTTATATGTAATTTGCTATTTTTTGCTTCATATATAATTTATGATTTTAGTTTAATGCAAGTCAGAAATTTGAATCTTACGCATCTCGAAATTAAATTTCAATTTTATATAACTCAGTTCTAAACCAATGCATATTCTAGTTTCATGCACAACATATATATATGTACGATACAAAAAATCACTTTATATAGAGCAAAAAGCAATTAGCAAATTGGAGATAAGCTAAATTAAGTAGTGGCTTATTTTTGGCATATTATTTTCTATGCCTATTGCTATATTGAGATTAAGGTTTTTTACTATACATTCTCTTATACATATATATAATATATACTGTACTATCTCTCTACATTATACTATATAACAAATATAGTATTGTGTGAAACCTAATATACTAAGAAATATATATAGCTTAAGCAAAGATTGGTTACACTTACCTTTTAGAAGTAGATTTAACATTAATATTAATATTCTTTATTATTATTATTTAAATTGTAATATAGGCAAATTTGCCTGTGTTTATTTTTTTTTTTTAATAAAATTTCAAATATTAATTTTAGCAATATACTTTCTAATTAAAAAAGACTTTTAAAGATCTACTTT